CATGGGTCCTTTCTCCCTAGGCCATGCCATTGCCGTCCACTTAAGAAATTATTGGTGAAGATGCAACATGACAAAGTTCCATTTACATCAAATTATGTTGTCTCACTACCTAGGCAGAATGCTTGTGAGTGAAACAGATAGACATCAGTTTTATATACACCCAGGGTGTGTTTGGTATACAAAGCTGAGCTGAGCTGGAGAAGACAGCACTATAAACAAGATTTTAGCTTCTTTTTCTCCTTCAATAGTCCACATTGTACAGCCCATCATACCAAACATATCTACAGCGAATAAAAGAATGTCTTTTGCAATGCGAGCGTGGGAAATTTTGACAATACAAAACAATTAATCTAACCTCTTCGAGCAGCAAGAAGTGCAGCCTCATTGACTATGTTTGCCAGATCAGCCCCGACAAGGCCTTGAGTTAGAGATGCAACTAGGTTGCAAACGAGGTACATGTCCTCCTCAAGTGGAACTCCTTTAAAATGTATAGCCAAAATCTTTCTCCTTCCAACTTCATCCGGTTCTCCCACGTATACTTTCCTAGAAAAACGACCAGGCCGACATAGAGCTGGATCCAAGGCATCTGGTCTATTTGTTGCAGCAATGACAACAACATCTATGTCCGACTCAAAGCCATCCATTTCTGTCAGCAACTAGTAAGGAAACAAGAATCATAAGGTCCAGTTAATACATAAAACTATTGAAAAAATATCCTTCAGTTTATATACAAACATACTTGCAACTCACATAATTGGAATTTGAATATTAATGTGTGAAAGCATTCCTATCAAGGAAAATCCCAGGTAAGAAAATCCTTGTCACAGCATTTTCATTTTCTTCTTAATGTTATTAATGGAATTATTAATTATTATGTTAATTACTTCTATTGATGAAACAAAAGTAGAGCCGCCACTTGCAATTTGTAAAGCAAGGTCCAGTTTTCCCCCACTTGAAAGAGTTTGAAGTTGGTTTTATGGTTTAATGCCAGCTAGGGCACTATGGGACTTACCGAACTGAGTTTCTCCCAATATTTTCCTACTGCAATTAACCATTAATAACCTTCTTACTGCAATTAACCATTAATAAGCTTCTTTTAGTTTCCACTTCATCATTCTTATCTCCAATTGTCAGTAGATATTCATAGGGATATCGGAGGTCGGGGGGCCATTCCCTTGACCCCATCATAAATTCACATTATATATCCTAAAATGTCAACAGTGTATAGCTTCTTCTGCTCGATGAACTATTTTGCTCTTTGTTTTCGTTCACCAAATCATAATTGTGTGTAACTAAACTGTAACGCAGTTGAGCAATTTGGTAATTCAAGAAAGATATAGCATTTGCACATGAACTTAAAATTAGCATAAACAGCAGAGCGTTTCGATTTAACACGAAAAAGAGAAATATTGTGATATGCTTCTCCACTGAAAATTATAAATACCTGATTCAGTGTTTGGTCTCTCTCATCATTGAAACTCCTACCACGCTTTCCGCCGACAGCATCAAGCTCATCAATAAAAATAATCGATGGTGCATTCTTTCTAGCAACACTAAAAAGGTCTCTTATGCGAGCAGCTCCTCTTCCAACAAATAACTCTACAAATTCACTGGCAGAAACTGAAAAAAATGGTACACCTGCTTCTCCAGCCACTGCACGGGCTAGTAATGTTTTTCCTGTTCCTGGAGGACCTACAAGCAGCACGCCTCTAGGTATCTTGGCCCCCAGCTTACTGTAATTAATAGATCCTTGAAGGCAACACACTATCTACAAAGAAGAAAATTGCATGTGTCGTACTCAAATAAGAGATGTCCTTACGTGCTCTGACAAGTAAACAGTTGAAATAGAAGTAAATCCCTGATTTTGTTTTACAGTTAAGTGTAAAGTAGTTGTCCTATATAACATACATACTATACATACCCATATAGGACAGAAAAAAATCCCTTCCTTTGGAGGAGACAAGGGAATCCAAACAATGGTCGGCATATGAATTTTGAAAATTAGACCAAACAAATTTGCCATTTAAGCACCATTCTAAATGACCAAAAAAGAGTATTATTTAATTTTGTTTTAAATGTGTATAAAGTCAATCGACAAGCATACTACGCATGCATGAACACTAGACTTTGAAAAAGTGATACAATTTCCTTTAATAATTTCCAATCCAATAAAGGATTTTTATCTTTGAAACCCATTGGAAGGGGTAGTGCAAGAGAAATCATGGAGAAATGATCGAATCTTCAGACGCCCCGATCATAGGACTTTAAATCTTTCTTCCAAATGCATGAAGGTATACTGTGGAAATAGTTTCTCACTGCTGTCAGATTAATTTTATATAGCTTACGAGAAGCAAACAATAAACGATCTATTACATCCCATCTGAATGATATACTACAAATATTATAGTGTGGAAAAGAAATAGATTTTTACAGAACATGGGTGTGTTTGAGCCACATTATTTTGGAATAGTAGATTGATGGAGAATGTGTGGTTGAAAAAAAAGAAAAAGTTATTGATATGATGAAAAATATTATTTTATTAAAGAATTTGTAGTTGAGATTTGAGAATGAGTAGAAGAATGAGAATAAGAAATTTAATGTGGCTCAAACAGGGGCCATATATGATACTTGGACCAGAAATACATATAAATGGTAATTGACTAATAAAAATTGGATAGAGGATGCGACAGTTGAACTATGCATTACAGCCTGGCAAAAAGGCATGCATATATGAGTCTAGAAATCCTATTTTCATCTACCATTTACATTTGAAATGTATATATCTTGCTCTACTAGATGCCACTGTGAGCCAATATTTTAGTAGTTAATTGAAATTTTAAGTAGTAGTCGAGTACCTCATCCACAAAACAGCAGAAAATTAAATTATAAAGTACATCAAATATACGTTTATAACAGAGAAGCTAATTTTTACTCAGAGCAATGTACGGTTGCAATTGTAGATAACTGAATCTGTTATGAAATCTGATTCTTGCACAATTTACTAATATGAAAATATTTATATAGTAATGAAACTAGAACAATTATCTAGTGATTCGATTTCATATAAAGAAAGCTCACCTCCATAAGCTCCACTTTTGCAGCATCAACACCATCCACATCATCAAAGCAAACCAACTGGTTGCTAGGTTTTCTTTTTCTGGCTGGACTATTGGCGGCAGAAAGTTGACGGTAAAGAAGCCACATTAAAGGAGTCAAAGGAATCCATAAAGATAGCACTGTAATCAACATATTTCTCATAGACATTAGAACTGATTGAGGTGCTGAGCCATATGCTGTCCCCTTTTCCCTCATCAGACTAAGAAGATAACTTTCATCGTGATCAATCTTTCTTGTGGAGAACTCCCAAGCAGGGGCCGAAGTTTTAGACTTTGTCAATTTCCTTAGCACATTTTTTCCCTCTTGGTTATGATGAGCAATGCCATAGTTTGCATCAATCTCAGCTCCAGTTTCACTATATGGAGTTGATTTATCGTCCACTGTTTGAGCATCTTTAGCACGCCACAGGTTTGTATTATAATATATACGGCGAGTACCCTCCTCGAACAAAACCTTTGTCACATTTCCACTTTGGAGGCTAGTTATGAGATCTGAATATGGAACAGCTTTTGGTATCGGCATTGCAGTTAATTTGAGAAAAAGAAAGCAAAATCCTAGTACAATAGATACAGAAGTGGGTAGAGTCAATCTTTTGACATTCTTGAGCAGGAATGTTCTTATGCCATTTAACACCAACCTGATCGAAACCCTCTTCAGTCTTCTTGACAATAATCGTAACCTTGGACGCAATCTCAATGAGAACTTCTTTCTTATCTCATTATTTTCTCCTTTTACCAGATGGGTATCTAGATTTCTGCTCTCATTAGCTATTGACCTAATCCTTTTACCACATAAAAACCTATTGTGATATTTACAACTATAATTCAGCCCCAATAAAGGCTTAGAGACTGAACTAAAGCAGTTCTTGGGCAGTGAACATGATATAGCTCTCTGTCTGTCCAATAATTTGAAATTTCCAACATAAACTTTACATTTTTCTTGGGCAATCAAAAACCCATCAGTCGAAGCAAGAGGAAAAGATGCCATCTTTCTATAAACAGTTCAGCAGATTCTCCATGAAACTCCCCAAAAAAAAGTGAATCCGATACAAGATTCTCCTTAAGAATTCACTCAGAGAAAGTGTAACGCAAGTATGAAATTCAATGGCTTTAAGAGGGTACAAGATTTAAAAAAAAAAAACCTGAAAAAGTGGAATTCCCAGGATTAAAGAGCTTGACTGCGGAGTTTGAAAAGATAGTATTCTTCGCTTTTCTTTCAATGGGGTGATTGGTGAAGATTACAGTTATACTGTCGGGGCCATTGATATTTGTTAGGGTGACATGAAATTTTTTGCATTCTGGCGAAGTCCTGGTATTTCCTCATTTGGGCCATTTGGCATCGTCTTCAATAGAGTATGGACTATTTGGGCCATTTGACCTTCCTCTTCAAACTGAATTTAGGCCCATTAATCTCACTGGGTTCCAGTGATATTGGTCCGAAGCCATTCGAAATAGGCCCATAGTCTGCCATATGCTGTTTGGTTGGGTAAACTGCAATACAATGTGCCTTGTGATTGCTATTAGGAAAAAGTACATATTTTGTGTGTTTGGTGGAGATTAAAATTAAATTTTTAGTAGATTGTGATATAAATTTTTGAAATGTATGGTTGAAAAGTTGTGAGACTCATGAAAAATGTGATTGTTATTGATTGTTTGACTTTAATTTAAATTAAAATCTGATTTTAATCCTAAACAAACAAGGCTAACATAGTTTCAAAACTCTCAAACTAAGAAATTTGTAGAATTCTTTCAAAAATCATATGGTCACATTTTTTACCATCTATAAACTCTGTAACACATTAATTAATTAAACAGGTCAATGTCACAATAATATACAATTTATTATCACAATCACGTATTAGTTATAAAATCACACTAAGGTCAAAGTGAAAAAAAGACATAAATTGTAAATCACGATTACAAATTTAGTCGCAAATCACACATTTTTATCGCTCATAACTTATTTATCGATCACAAAATTACCATATTATTTTGTCATAATTACTTAACTAACTACTCACAAATTACTCTTCATCTCCCCATCCCACTCCACCACCATCGACGCTTCAAATCCACAACCCCTACTTCACAAATACACTTAGACGTTCATGACTAGAAGCTGAAATAGTGGCGCACCACCCAAATCGCAACTACATAGTTGGACCATTACCGATTGAAGATCCAACACAGATTCACCTCAAAACAAGCCCCATCTTTCTCAAATTCATTTGATCCGACTTTCCTGACCAACTAATGAAAAAGCAACTCCCAAATTTAATCATACAAATCTACATTACCAGAGTTTGATTTTCGGTGGTGACGATCAATATACAAATTTGGTTGTAAAGAGAGAGAGAGAGAGAGAGAGAGAGTAAATATATATGATAATTATTAATTGATAATTGAAAAAAAAAAAGTTGAAAATTTTTAAGTTGACATATTGTATGAGTCTACAACTTTTACACAAGCCAATCAGGGGCTAAATAATGAGGTATATTAGCTTAATAAGGTACAACAATATTTATTTTGTAATTTGTATTGTTTTTTGTGATCTTGCCTCTGTCGTTATAAATGGAAAGTGACAAAGTTCAAGACAGTATATTATAAACATATTTAATTAAAATTAAAATTTAAGTCAAGACATAGTAGAAAAGTAAATTTTGTTGACAAAAAAAATAATAAATAATGTTTACTTACACTTAAATTTGATTTACTCGTAAAGTTCGCGTGGTCTAACGTTTGACCTTTCTAGCACTACTTCGTATAATTACAATCCAGACGTGCACTAATAGTCAAATAAGTTAGGTGGCTTTAATTTTAGTCCATTGTCGTTGTAGATTAAAATCAGAATTTTAGTAGATTTTGATAAAAGTTAATTGAATGTGTGGTTGAAAAATTGTGGGTTTCATAAAATGTGTGGTTAAAATTAATTGTTGACTTTGATTTGAGATCAAAATTAGATTTTAGGGTGTGTTTGTCTCCCATTATTGAGAGAAAAATAGAGTAATTAATAGTATTTTTTTGAAGAATGTGTGGTTGAAATTTAAAGTAACTTTATTGGTTTGTGTGTAGAATATTTTATTGGGTGAATGTGTGGTGGAGAATCTCACTGTAGCAAATAATTTTTTGAAATAATGGTACACAAACAGGGGCTTAATTTTTACCAAACATGACCTTAATACGTGATTGACAGGGAATCATCGTGTCCACCCATGATATTCTGTTCATTGAATATAACAAATAATAACATAACCTAAGAAAAGACCAATCTTTTCAAGCAATCTCTTTCTTTTCCTTTCAAGATCTGTTTGCCCAACAATTTAGGTAAATTTGAAACTCTAGTTGCCAACTTATTTGCATTCTTGCAATTTAGTCTTCAACTTATTCTTTTAATATTGTATCGTTAGCATGAATATTGCAATTTTGTAGTCTTTTAGGGTTTATTGGACGGCTTCGAAAGCGCGTTTTCAAAAACCGAATATGTTTAAATATGGTATTTCATGGATTTTTTAAGCAGTACCTGATTATTAAAATAAAGTTGAAAATGCGTGATATTTCAATTTAGTTTTCAGTAAAACATTTTCTTTCCACATATTTTCCATATTTGCAATCAAACAGACCCTTAGAGATATTTACGAGAAAGAAAACAGATAAAGGATCACGTTTCAACATCATCGATACATTTAGTACAAATGAGGCAATTTTCCCTTAAACTTTATTATTTATGCCGATAACCCTGTCGTGTTCATTTATATACGTAAAAGATTATCGACATAACTGGCTAACAAAATCTACAATTATATTTCATTTTAGATTAATGAGAATAATTTAAGATAATATCAAATCAATCTTCTGCTGTCTAATTATAAAATAAAGTGTGAAGAGACAAAAAAAAAAAAAAATGGCACATTACCAGCTTGGCATCTTTATCTTTCAACTTCCAAATTTTCAAATCATAATTAATTATTTCAATGAAAAGTCAGTGTCAATTTTACATTATTTTCTTGGTGGTTGTCTTAAAGTGACAAATTCTGCAAATATTGAGGACGCATCTATAAAGTTTGTTCTATTTTACCGGTGAGCATTTAAGAGAAGAGTACGAATCAAAAGCAGCCACTCAAAAATGGGTGCCTGTGAGCCTCAAATGAAATCCAGCTATCAGCCACATATTTTTTTCAACAGTGCTCCATCATCTTTTACTGTTTTACGTCTTTTACATGACAAAACATGGACAGTTCAAACATAAAAACAGTTCCCCCGTCGACAATTTTCAAAAAACAAAATTTTCGTGTGCTTGTCTCCCATTATGGCCTTGTTTGTCTCGTATTACTTTAAAATATTATTTGTTACAGTAAAATTTTTCACCACATATTTACGTAATAAAATATTTTACACACAAATCAATAAAGTTACTTTAAATTTCAACCACACGTTTTTCAAAAAATACTATTAATTACTATATTTCTTTTACAATAATGGGAAACAAACGCACACAACGTAAAAAAGAATGTAAAGAAAAGAGTGTACATTTAGAGTGTGTTTGGTACAGATTTTTAGGGGAAGAATTGATTTTTGAATAGTGATATGATGGGAAATGTGTGGTTGAAAAAGGAAAAAAAAGTATTGATGTGATGGAAAATATTATTTTATTGAAAAATGTGTGATTGAAAATGAAAATTGATTTACTGTAGAAAATGAGAATTTATACCAAACAGACTCTTAACATTACTTTATTTTTTTTTATATCACCAATCCAACCCAACCCAAAATCTAAACCGTGCAATATGTCCATGTTTGGTACCGATTAAAAGCTAGATTTTAATCAACTTCTATCAAAATCTGGTTTTAATTCCTATTAAACAGGGGCTGCTAAAACTTATTTCGCATTTTATCAAAAATATATATAGCCTTGTTTGGTCAACATTATTTTTTTCATTCTTATTCTTCTACTCATTTTTAACCACACATTCTTCAATAAAATAATATTTTTCATAATATCAATAACTATTCCTTCTTTTTCAACAACACATTCCCCATCACATCAACAGTAAAAATGTATTCTTACCTTTAAAATGTGCACCAAACGGAGCATAAAATTTGTTGATTAAAATATAGAAATTAAACCTTTGTTTGACCACATTATTTCAAAATTCATTTTAAACCACACATTTTTCAATAAAATAATGTTTTTCATCACATCAATAATTTTTTCTTACTTTTTAATCACATATTTCACATCATACCACTATTTAAAATACATTTTTTTATCAATAATATTCATCAAACACACCCTCATATAGTGAAGATACGTGGCCGACTTCTACACGCTTCTTTCTTTCTTTCTTCGGCCTACAAAAGGCTGGCTGCTACTCCATTCATTATCCCAATTATTCGCTGCTTCTCAAATCAACAACCGTCGAGAATTTCCTATAAAATTTTCTCAATTTTCTCATTCCATATTCGGTCGAGAGCTCTCAAATTTGGGTTTGGTTTTCGATCACATTCAAATTCATCGATTTAATCTGTAAGCTCTTTTCAAAATCCGTGAGTTTGATTTTGTTTGTATTATTTTATTGTACAATATTATGATTTCATGTGTAATCTTGAGATCTTGATGACATTTTAGTTTAATTTATTTATAGGGCTTGAATTTGTTTATATTGTTTTATGACGCGTGTTCTCGAGATCTTGATGAGATTTATTGTTTATTTTTGTTTCTAGGGTTTGATTATTGAAGCTTTCTGAAAGAACTTTTCTGCTTCTATCGATCATCGAATATTATTTCTCTCATATGTTCTTCTTGGTTTTCTATTTGGCCCTTTAAATTTTAAATATTATATGAACTATAGTCAATAGGTATAGAGATTTATATGTTTGTGGATGAATTTTGGTTTGTCATATTTAATTGTAGTTTATGGCCATTATGATTAATGACGTAATTGGAAATTGGGCTTTATGGTTTAAATTGATTATTTTGTTGAAAAATTATGGGTTTTTTTACTATTGTCAGTTTTTCTTTCGTGTTGTCTTAGATACTGGGGTTTAGAGTGTTCTTTTTTTGCGAATCTAGAAATTTTGCATCGAACCACAAGTTCAATTATGTTTTATTGGAAGTTGAGGAAAAAATGCATTTGAAATATTAGAGTTTCATATCCTGTTTCCCATTTAGCCAGTTGATTCACCTCATACCCTTTGTCCTCGAATTTTATTAACATCCATTCCTATTTTCTCTTCGGAGCACTCATTTGTGTTTTTAAATACGCCAATGACAATTTCCAGGTTTTTTGAGAGCATTGATCCAGAGCTTAAATACTTTATGACTTCTTTTGCTCTGCATACCTATAGCAGTTTTTTCTCTTTATAAGTTTAGTTTGATTGATGTTTTCATCTGACTCTAATACTTGTTTGTTTGTTTAAACAGCTAAGACTGAATGATCTAATGGAGTCAAAGGGTGGGAAGAAGGAGTCTAGTAGTAGTAGTAGTAGTAAATCCTTATTCTACGAAGCTCCCCTAGGATATAGCATTGAAGACATTCGACCACACGGAGGAATCAAGAAATTCAGATCTGCTGCATACTCTAACGTGAGTTTGATGTCTTCAGTTCTTCTGATTCTTATGCTTTTTAATTTTCTTAGATCATTGTGTGATTTCATTTTTCATTTTTATTGTTTTCTTTATTTGCCAGTGCGCTCGGAAGCCATCCTGAGATATATCGAGTTGTGCAATAACCACTGAGGTGGTTCAGGGAACAGTGTTTTCCTAAAAATTCAGCTACTATCTTTATTTTAGTTTCTCGTTACCTTGTACTTGTTCTTGCTTCCCCACATCACTCCTTCCCTCTTAAGCCAAAAATGGCATTGCCAGTCTCTGCGACTGGCTTTGAAGGTTACGAAAAGAGACTCGAGATTTCTTTTTCTGAACCTGGAATATTTGCTGACCCTGGAGGTTGTGGCCTCCGATCATTGTCCAAATCCCAATTGGATGAAATTCTAGACCCAGCTCAATGCACCATTGTGTCTTCATTGTCTAATGATGAAGTCGATTCGTATGTCCTATCCGAGTCTAGCCTCTTTGTGTACCCATACAAGATAATAATTAAAACTTGTGGGACTACAAAATTGCTTCTTTCAATCCCACCCATCCTTAAGTTTGCGGATACTCTCTCACTCACAGTGAGTTCTGTTTGGTACACTCGTGGAAGTTTCATATTTCCTGGGGCACAGCCGTTTCCGCATCGTAGCTTTTCTGAAGAAGTAGCTGCTCTAGACGGCCATTTTGGCAAACATGGGCTAAACAGCAAGGCCTATGTGATGGGTGGTGCTGATGAAGATCAGAAATGGCACGTCTACTGTGCATCTGCTGCCCCAACGAAAGATTTATGCCCTGTGTACACTCTAGAGATGTGCATGACCAATTTGAACCAGAAGAAGGCCTCTGTATTTTACAAGACTCAATCAAGCTCTGCAGCTGTCATGACTGAAGCTTCCGGCATCAGGAAAATTCTCCCCGATTCTGAGATATGTGATTTTGATTTTGATCCATGCGGTTACTCCATGAATGCTGTTGAAGGGGCTGCAATCTCTACAATTCACGTGACTCCAGAGGATGGGTTCAGTTATGCAAGTTTTGAAGTAGTTGGATACGATTTCAAAGTGGTTAACTTGACCCTGCTACTAGAGAGGGTACTGGCTTGCTTCCAACCAGCCAAGTTTTCCATAGCTTTGCATGGGAAGGACCTTGATCTGGACTTGACACGTAATATGAAGGGATATGTATGTGCAGAAAGGAGCTTTGAAGTTGTTGGTCATGGTGGATCTATTATCTACAGCAGCTTTATCAGTGCTGGAAACTGCAGCTCTCCAAGGTCAATTCTGCAATTCTGCTGGGACGAGAACCAGGACGAGGAAGTCGAGAAGAAACAATTGTGAAACGTGGTCCTTGACTAAGTTGTCTTTATATGTAGTGTGTTTTATAATAATAAGATAATGATTAGACTATTCAGCATGTTATTTTCCTGAACTGTCCTCTATTAGCTTAGGGTCTCCCGAATGTTTTTGCATCAATAAATTAGTTTAGTTTTTTTAGTAACCAGCTGACTGTAATATTACTCTGTTATTCTTATTTCCTATTTGTGCCCGTTTAATACATTCTTGGTTGAATTTATGTTTGACACGGAATTTGTGGCTCTCCATTCGTAAGAAGGCATATCTGTTAAATCATTTAGGTAAAGAATTTGTTGGGTGTATTTGTCTTGAATTCTTAGCCACTAAGTGAGAATTTATTTGCCGATTGACTTAATGTTTGGTTTGAATTTAGGCACATCAAATCTTGCCTTCCCAACTACCTAAATTTACATTGCTTGCGTACAAGAATGAAAGTATTAGAGGACAATTCTAAGATGCCAACTTCAATGTTGGTGGAGGGTTGTGCTGTCCATAGCAAGTTTAAATGTTGTAGTTCTTCTAAATCGATATGCCTACGTTAAAAGATGCGCCAAAATCCCTCAAGAATTGTTAAAAGTTTAATAATACAAGTTGTGCACCGTTTCAAGTGTCATATTATTGTATTTAAATTGTAATTTTGATTTGAACATATTAGTTAAATTTTTGAATTCTCAACAACAATATAAAATTACGTGTAACACATATCAGTAAAAGAAAGTGTACTTCATTATAGGCAGAAATATTCTAATAGTAAAATGTATCACGAATTTCATTAAAAAGAAAAAATGATTATTAGCACAAAACGTCCATATATTTTTTTTTTATAACCGTGGATGTCCGGGCCAACTTGCGCGCACCTCGACTAATTCCACGTGGCTCAAAACGTCCATATATTTGGAGTTCGTTATGCAAAATGTCCCTACATTTGGATTTTTTTTTTATTTTTTGCATTTTCACCTCTATTTCAACATTTTATTGCAGAAATCATCATTTTCATCCAATTTCTCAAAAAAAAAAAAAAAAATGAAAAGAAAAAAATACCCTCTTATTTAAATAAAATGAAACGGAAAAAAAAAAAAATCCATACGTTTCAATTTTTTTGCATTTCATTCCTAATTCCACTTTTCATTGCGAAAATCCTCATTTTCCTTCATTTTCATCCATCTTCTCTATAACAATCTGTGAAATGACAAATATACCCTCTTATTTAAATAAAATGAAACGAAAAGAAAAAAAAAAGAATTAATTGCTACCATACTCCCAATTTTTTTTTTAAAAAAAATACAAACGAGTCTCAAATAAATTATTAAGTATTAGAAAAAAATAATCTATTTTCTTTCTCCTTCCTCCACTACCTCCAATTTCGATCCGTCCCAAATGTTTCATCAATCAGTTTACGCACACACTCCCACCTCCTTTTGATCAGCCCTTGATTTCACATCTTCAACAATAGTCAATTCACTTAAATCACCACTCTCGACTTCAGAATCAGAACACGCTAAATCCCCAAACAGAACGCTAGAAAAGGGCCTATATTTATTTAGGTAGTATAATAAAGTATTGGAATTGGAACGGAATTTCAGATTCTGCTAGGGTTCATCTTAAAGTGTCAATCCTATTAAGAGAAATAGCCCAAATTCTTATAAATTAATCTATGTTTTTATTTTAATTCATTGTGAGATTTTATATCTTAACATGCCCCGCAAGATAGTGACTGGTTAGAACAAATCAATCTTAAAATTCGTGTGCTCATATTTTAAGTTTTCATCGAATCGAATTGAATTGCTCGTTTGAGTTTAATGAGCTCTGATAATGCTTTATTTTTCTACAGTAAATCGATTTTCAACCACACATTCTTCAATAAAATAATATTTTCCATCACATCAATAATTTTTTCTTCTTTTTCAACCACACATTTCCCATCATATCACTATTCAAAATCAATTCTTTCCCAAAAAATCTCTCCCAAACAGGCTCTTAAAGTGTCAATCCTAGTAAGAGAAATAGCCCAAATTCTTATAAATTAATCTATGTTTTTATTTTAATTCATTGTGAGATTTTATATCTTAACATGCCTCGCAAGATAGTGACTGGTTAGAATAAATCAATCTTAAAATTCGTGTGCTCATATTTTAAATTTTAATCGAATCGAATTGAATTGCTCGTTTAAGTTTAATGAGCTCTGATAATGCTTCCCTTAATCCATCCTCTTGGTACCACTTGGTTTCTTTGGTGATTTTGAGAGGATAGTTCGATACTTCTAAGGAAGGGCTCGACATTTTTGAGTTACTTCGCGGGAAATTTGGCAAGGAAGATTTCCTGGAAGTTCTCAAATAAAAAGCCATTCAATATCAATAAAATAGTGGTCAAGACCGGTGTTTCTGATCGGACGGTGGATTTCTGAATGCAGGGTGGGTGGCGCGTGACTTGTGCAGTAGGTGAAAAGCATTGGAAAGAGGAGATGCTGCCTATTCTGGGTTACCTCGAAATAAATGGAAGTTGTAGTTTTCCGAATATGAAGTTGGGGAAGAAGATGAAAGGGTAGGGGTAGGATGGGTTAGTGGTGGTGGAGTGAATTTTTTTTAATGTTTTAATAATTTATACGAGACTTATTCGCATTTTAAAAAAAAATGGAAATATGGTTGCAATTAGTTTTAAATTTTTCTTTTCTTTTATTTTTGTTTTATTTAAATATGAAGATATATTCGTCATTCACAACTTTTTATCGAAAAATTGGATAAAAAAGATGTTCGTAATGAAAGGTTGAAATAAGCCCCTGTTTGATGCATATTATTAAGTGGAGAATGCATTTTAAATAATAATTTGATGGAAAATGTGTAGTTAAAAAACAAAGAAAATTTTTAAATTTATGTGTAATATTATTTTATTTAAAAATGTGTGGTTGAATATGAATTTTTGTAAAAATGTGGATCAAACATAGCCTAAGTATGAAAATGCAAAAAATGCAACGTTGGAATATGCAAAATTTCAAAAGTAGGAACGTTTTGTGCTAATAACCGTAAAAATATATATAAATTTTGCTATTTTCTATGATTTGTTCTTTCTCCAACATTAATAGCTTTGCAATGTTCAATTATCCTATGAAAGTGAATAACAGTAAAGTTTTTTAATGAGAAATTCATGAAAAGTGTATTATTCTCTGATGCTCACACATTGACATGCTTGTCGACAAAGTGACAAACCCTGTAAATTCGGTCTGAACCTTTAGAGAGAAAGTATATTTTAAAATAAATAACTCTTTCATGAGACAGTTTAAAATGAGGAAATAATTCTCAAAATTTGTGCTTTCAAGCTCAGTCAGCTTTATAGAGGAAACAGAAAAATGGAATTACAAGTTTTCAACACGAGCATGTGCATCTCCAGTTGATGATCCAACTAACGGCATAGCATTGTAAGGAGAAGAGAATCCAATTCCCTGGAGCATTTCAGTTCATCGCTTGATAGTGTTATGGGATAAAAGGATCTAATACGGTCGAAATTTCCTTTCAGCTCTCATCTGTTGTATCCGCTTTTTATCCTGCTCGAATTTGCTTTGCAGCATCATAATCTCTGAAAACAAAAAAAAAAACCCAAATTCAGTAATCAACAATTTAAGAAAAGAGAGGTGGTAAATAATATGAATAAATACTCGATACGGCAAAATTTGAATTTCATGATTATCTGCATTCATCACGTTACAAAAACTGAGCAGAAATAAATTTATGACTAATTTTAAGCATACCGTTTCTGTGGGCTTCCCTTTTTTGAAACCTGTAGAAATCTGGGCCTGCATCTTTATTCTTCTTTTTTGCCATCTTATCAAGAACAGCAGCCTGGGCAACAGAACCCACAACAGTTCCACTTTCAGCATCAGATGTCTTTTTCCTCCCCTTATGGTGTACCACGACGGTCCATCCACCTTCTGCAGCTTTGGCCTCCCTTTCTCTTCTTGCCTGCATGGGCCAACAAATAAAATAAGACAACTTACATTGAAGAAAGAAGCAAATATATAAATCAAACGCGATAGAACAATTTACATTAGACATCAGACTTTATAGCTATTAGCCACACATAGATGCAGTTCCTCAGCTAGTTTCACATAGAACACATTAATGATGAGACTAATTTAGTATTCAGGCTGAAAGAGCACTGTTAAAGACTTAAATTTGTCACATCTTTAACAAAATGGATAACCTGTCTTGAATGTAAAATTACATATGCCCTCCAATTATTCAGCTATAGAAAACCACTGTGATGAAAAGAAACATTGAACATCACTGCAGAAGCAAAACTACCTGCTCCTCTTGTGCCTCATGAGCAGCTATGAAATCATCTATCCTTTCTTGCAGCACTTTGAGTCCAGGTCTACTCTGATGGTATTCCATAATCCACTCTGCATTAAGAAATCATTTTTTATTTCAGATCAGAAGGGACCGGGAAGCCAAACCACAGGCTATATTTGACCTCCACTATAATTAAGGCTCTACTCGGGCCCAGTTTTTGTTGAGCTCAGGTTCGAAAAAGCCAAAAGCAACCTCAAAGAATTATGTAAACGAAAACTAAAGAGAAGGCTCTATACTTTTCATTCCTTTAGAGCTATCTTCATCCCCTGAAGATATCTCATAAACTTCGTCTTCTGCTGCTTCTCCTTTCTTCTCTAGTGAATTCTCCTGGGATGATTGGTTTATCAATAATTGACCCTTCTTTTTTATTTTACGAGCCTTTTTTGAGTTACCTACAGGTAAAGTAAGTACAGAAATCATTATCTAAATAGCACCAGTAAAACTTGATATTGATCGAAAAATGACTATCTGCAAAATGAAAAATTAGTATTTTGCGAGCATTGGGAATAGCACCATTGTCATTCAGTTGCTTGATTTCAGTGCTTATTTTTGAATAGTGTCGACACCAAATCACAATTCCCATCACCATTTAAAAATATTTTATGCATCTCCTGATCATTTTCTACAATGTAATATATCTTGAAATATCACAGAAGTTCAGGAAAAAGTAAATAATCAAGAAGCCATGTGTGTGTGGACATGGTCAAAATTTTGAGCATTGAGAAACAAATAGGAATTTATGTTTGGGAATCCCGCAAATCTGTACTTGTTAGCAAAACAAGACATTCAAATGTGTGCAGTCACGTGATATATGCCCACGTAGTTAGGACTAACTCAATCTGTAAGGATATTATGTAAAATATTGCTCAATAGCAACTAAATACCACCTAAGAGAGACCCAATGGGTCATTAACAAATGATAACTTAACCACGAATTGGACACTGCATAAAGGACTCCCAACAGAGAATCAATTTTAAGTTCGAAGAACTAAATATTTTTTTGAAGCAATAAGAAAATGATGCATGAACTTCTCAAGATTTAATTCATACTATGCATATTTGCATGCATACACATTGATCATCTTTAGCCGGCATCAAACATAAAAAGTTAAAATAGTAGAAAGAATATTGCATCAGAAAGTTAAAAAGCAAGCTTGTGTCCATATAGTATGCATCTATATAGCCCAAAATTCAGCCCTTGTTTGGTGTGGATAAAATCAGATCTTTTAGTAGATTTTGATAAAAGCTGATGAAATGTGTGAATAAAAAATTAATAAAATTTGTGGGTCCCATAAAATGTATGGTTGAAAATGAGTTTTGAGAAAAATGAGTTTTAAAAAATTGGGGGCAAACAGGGGCTTAATCTGTTAACTTTAGAATGCAACAACATTGATCATCATTATCTACTGGTACCATTTTTCAGTTCAGTGGCATCTTCAACCTTGTTGTCGAGTTTATCAACTTCACTGATATCAATTGTCTTCGTGTTCTTTCGTTTCTTTTTCATTTTTTTCGGCATTTTACTTTCTCCTCCTTCATTTGAGGTATCTTTTTGATCAGCAAATTTGTCTTGAGCCTCATCATTGTCGAGTTTATCAACTTCACTGACATCAAGTGTCTTCGCGTTCTTTCGTTTCATTTTCATTGATTTCTGCATGTTACGTTCTCCTGCTTCTTTTGGGGTACCTGTTTGATCAGCAAATTCATCTTGATCCTCATTATTACATGGCGTGCTGACTACGTTGACTTCTGCTCTAGCTATCTTGCCATTCTTTTTTTTCTCTGCTCTCAACTTTTCGCTTTTTTTCATTCGTACACCTGGTGCGCCAGATTCATCTGATAGAAGATATAATGGTTTTCATGAATTTTACATACGTGCATATGAAGTGTGAAGAAAATTGAAATATCCATAGATAATGGTCTACCTTTGATATTCGACAGCTCAACTGTCTTGGTATTACCTTTGTCCCCAGTAAATTTCTTTTTGTTCTTCTTATCCTTGTTACCCCTGTAAAAGTTATCTTCTGTGCATAAACAAAAGGGCTTATTTTAGCACAGATATTTGATGCAGACCCCCAGCCCCAAACATAATTAGAAATAGAAAAAACAGAGCAGACGAAAAGTAAAGTAGCACAATTGGTTTACACTTTGACAACAATAAAGCAAAGACTGAGATCTCCAAGCATGACTATGTTCTGATCTATTTACCTAACATACCTAAATGTGTAACATAACATAGCCATGATTATATTGGGGAATACATCTCTTAGTTACCACTAAAAATCATCAAACATGAAAAGTGTTTCTGTGCAACTAAATTTGGGCTCTTGAGAATTGAAATTATACTTAAACACTTAATCAATAAAATTCAATTGTTGATCATCAAATATAAACAAAAAATCTGGATTAATTCTTCCATGCTACAATTTCCTCCAAAAAAAAAAAAAAAAACTAAGCTTTAAAACCACATATGCAACAACTTTCATCCCTTGGACCAACAACAACAAAGTGAGCCTAGTTCCTAATATATTTAGAGTCAGCTACACTTATTTTTTGTTCTCGACATTGTTGGGTTCTTGCTATATTTATGGGAAGATTTAAAGCAACTAAATCCTTATCAACTCACTCACTCAAATTTATTGGGAACTCCTAAAGAATATATGCCCGTAATTTGCTCTGGAGAATGCCAGCTATATGATATAGAGCCAGCTAAAATTTTCTGTCACAAAATTCAACCTCTACAAATTTGTGGATTCATATACTATCAAATTTAAATGAGCAAAGAAAGCAATTCCTCACCCCCACCCCAACCCCCCAAAAAATCAGATACAATACAAGGAGTGTTGACATACAGGGTTCATAATGAAAACAAACAGGTCACAAAAAAGAGAAGTTTTTCAAATAGGAAAAGAAAAAATACCACTTTCGAGAAACCGGGAATTTTCCATCTTCAAGTTTTTTTCAATATTTTTCTTTGTATTTTTCCTTTTCTTCAGTTTCTTGTGTGAATCTTCTACTGCCATGTCTCTTTTTCTGTTCCTCTGTGCTGTAGACGGGACGAACAAAGAAAAAGAGGCGCTCTTCAGGTATGATGAGATGCGTATTGGGTTGTACCAAATGGAGCTTTGGGTTCAAACTGAAAAAGAAGTCCAGAGAAGGGCCCATGAGAATGGAAATTATTCAACAACAAAAAGGGGCCACCCGACCTAAAAAAAATAATAATATTATATATTAAATTTTGAGTAAAATAAAAAATTTGAACATGACAGCTCTAAGGTTTCGAAAATTTGGACAAGTAGCTAGTTCAAAGATCTTAAAAATTCTTTACGCCATGCTTAATAATTGTACCAATTGAAAATGAAATAAAGGAATAAGGAGTTAGATGGTTTTAGCATGTCTTACATGGATTTAAAGGAAATTTATGTTTACAAAATTAATGTGCTATCTCAATAAAACGTATTGGAGATAGATTGAGCCCATGTTTGGTGCACATTTTTATTCCAAGAATGCATTTTTTTGGTTGATGAGGAGAAAAAATTATTGATGTAATGGAAAATATTATTTTATTGAAGAATGTGTGGTTCAAAATGAGTAGAAGAATGATAATGAAAAAAATAATGTAACTCAAAGAGGAGCTGAAATTCTAATAAAAAACTAATCAAATTGTAATAAATCTTTTAAATTAAGAGATTGTTTGGTAGAGCTACTTTTTCTAAAAAGCTTGTCAAATTAGACAAATTTATTTTTAAGCACAAATTTTATTCACTTTTAATCACACATTTCACAGGATATACCAACTTTTATCAACTTTATTTGTTCAAAATTTACATCAGATCATCACTAAGTAGCGGCTGGAAAACGTAATGAAAAGAAATAAGAATCTGTTTGATTGCAAGAATGAAATTTGAGTGGAAAGAAAATAAATTCTATGGAATTGAATTGTCTAGAACTTGTTTTACTGAGAATTGTTAATTAATTGTGTTTGATTGGTATAATAATCTACATGAAAAATATTGAAATTTTGGATCTTTTGGTATTCGTTTGACTTTATTTTATATGAAAATTGTCCATTAAAGGAATAAAATTTGTTACAATTGGGGATATAATTTGCTTCCATTGCCAAAATAATAATAATAATAATAATAAT